TTCGACGAAGGAGCGTCCGGAGGGCTTGCGGCAACCACATGTGACGACCCCGGGCTGGACTCCGCTTTGTCCATGGTGAAAGTTGATGTAGTTTCGCTTTCACAACGAAGCACACAGCGTCTCCACGACATGGCGGCAGTTTCAACAATACTACAGTGAGAATAAAAGTTACCCTTCTTTCTTTGCGTGAACATTTGGGCGGCGTTATGCAAATCTTCCCACATCGTGACGTAGACATGTGGGGGCGTGTTAGAACGAGCCGTTTTAGGTAGGCGTGGTTAACTCTTAACTTTTATAAAGAATATCTCTTTGGTTTTGAGACTTTAGTGTTTGCAACTTTACAGATCTTCTTTAGCTTGTAACACTCCAAAGAGAAAGGAAAAATTGAAATCGCATCATATGACCCCTTTAAAAAAAAGCCAAATCAATTGTTTGTGAATTCAATTAGGAATAAAAAGTTGTTACAATTTCAGAAAAGAAACAATTAGGTCTTACAAATGGACGCTCTTTTTGGTGACACTGTATTAAAGCCTTTGCTCAAAAATGATATCAAATCGAGTCATTTAATCAAACAGTTTTATTACCCCAGCTTCACAGGTTTGATTTTATTGTGTAATGTTAATATAGAGCTCATATGCAAAATGTGGAATGTAAACAGACCCGTCAAACGATAGATAGAAATCAAAGCAAGTACTGTTAATAAATTTTAAAAAACTGGAATGAATTCAGTGGCTCACAATCCACACACACCAAAATCTCACATTAAATTCAAGAGTTTAAAAAAGGACCATTCTGGAGAAGCTGAACAGAGTAACTGAACAGATCTGCAGGTTAAAAATCACTAAAAACATCGCCATTTATGATACAATTAAAAATAAACGACTGAGAGTTTCGCCCTGAACAGCAACACAATGATACAATGCATTTCCTCATTAAATGAATTCAATTCTAAATGACTTCATCTGAAAAATTCAATCCACCACCCACCCATCAGAATACATTCAGCATATTAGGCACGTAGAAATATCTGAGCCTCCTGTGGGCTAGAAGAGGTTCTTGAGGAGATTTTTCAAACAGAAAGAAGATCAGCTGCAGCAGGATTTGAAACAAACTATACAGCCCAACAGAAACGAGATCTGGGCTAATCAACATGAAGAATGAACACATTTGGGCTAACACTGCTCAAATTTGGAGCAACAATTAGGCAAGTCATTGTTGCCCTTTCTGAGCATCTTGTTGCCAACATCTGAGAAATACTGCGCCCAAATGTACGAACTCCTGATTGTGTTATATCTGTTGTTATCGAAGCACAGTTCCATTCAACACTATGAATGAACTACATGAGCCATATGGAGGATGAAAATGCTGGAATTTAAACAAGCTGTTAAATCACTTGCTCAACTGCCAATGAACAAAAAAGTTAAACCTCAAAGTCACTCATGGAATGTGCTCAGCTATGGAGAGTCAACGATCTCTGCACAGTCAACAGGCATGACAGAAAAATGATATTCACAAACAGCACTTTTGTGAAGCGCTAATACATTCAACACGTAAAAAAGCACTCAAGAGTCCTATTTACAGTCCAGAGCTGTTGCTTTATCTCAGCGTGTTTGTGTTACGGTTGCATGTCCCAAAATGTTCAAGCATCTGATGTGGCTCAGTATTGTCAATGCTGATCTGGTATCTCCCTATAAAGAGTATTTGGTTGGACCACTTTGGCATGTAGTGCAACATGTAAACCTGTTCAAATGAAGCTCACAGATCTGCTCTGGTCTGGTGTTTAGCGTGCCACAGTTCACAACAACCCCTCGTTATCAAAGCTGGTGTGCAAGAGAGAGAAGGCAAATGGCACAAACTTGACGCCAGCGCCGCTATAGAACTTATTCTGGAACTCCACCCTGAGGAGAGAGAGGTGATTTCAGTTTGAATCATTCAGTATAAATTCATACTGTGTTTGAATATATACTGAGGATTGTACTGACCAGTGGAGTCTGAGAGCATGAAGGAAAGCTGAAAGTCCCTCCATCACCAGCAGGATGGACACAGTGAGGACAGCAAACAGACCAAAAACAGGCACCAGGAACACAATGCCCACACTGGTGTCCACACGCAGACCCACCCGCATCACCATCGCCCACAACACTTCAGAGAGCTCTGGATCACAACAAAACATGTTCAGCATTGCTTTATTTTAAATAAAGCCGTTTTTAAAAGGCCTCTAATTGTCCAAAACAATCATTTACAGGTCCTATATAGGCTAAACATTTCACCCAGTATTTCTGCTGTAATTATGATAAAGCGTGTTCAAACTCGTGTTCAAATATGTTTCAAACTCTTTTATTAACACACATTGGATGTGCTGAATATATTAAATTAATCACAAATTTAACTATAAAATTGTATAGTCGTCAATAAAAAAATGAGGAAATATTTCAGTTTACAGATTATTTTTTAAAAAATTATTAGATAGTAGGGCTGCACGATAAATCGCATGCGATATTTAACGCGCATCTTGTCAGAAAGCCGGTTCTGTAATCAGCGGTAAATCTCCATCACGTGCGGGCTTTCACATTGAGCAGCATGAACTACACAGAGCCGTTGTTCTCTGACGAACTGCGCCAAAAATCGCACGAATATGAACGTGGTTTTGCGCAGCTCGTCAGTGAACAACGGCTCTGTGTAGTTAATGCTGCTCAATGTGAAAGCACGCAGGTGATGGAGATTTACCACTGATTACAGAA